GTCTTTGAGTAGCCTCCTCTTCCCCTTCAATATTCTCCTGTACTTATTTTGGGCTACAGTTTCATCTATCAATGTTATTTTATCTTTGTTCTACATTTTACAGATTCCCCAGATTTATAGATTGCTGATTATATTTTCATTTATATTCTGGTGTTACTACTAATTTATCATTTTCCCAAACATATTTTGGGGTGGGAAAAATTTATTTTATTGATTTTTTACAGAGAGGAAGGGAGAGGAATAGAGAGTTAGAAATATCGATGAGAGAGAAACATTGATCAGTTGCCTCCTGCACACTCCCTACTGGGGATGTGCCCGCAACCAAGGTACATGCCCTTGACCCAAAACCCGTTGGTTCGCAGGCCAACGCTCTATCCACTGAGCCAAACCGGTCAGGGCTCTTTTAGACTTCTTTAAATGAGATTAGTTTATTTTTGAAATCACTAAAAATATATATTAAAAAAAACATGTTTACAAGGAACTAAAACACTTTAAAATCCCTTGATTCTTCTATTGCTTAAACAGGTGGCACACGGTTGTCAAGAAATCTGCAAAGTCTTATAAAGGGTCTGTTCTGATCCTTGGCCCATTCAAAATACATATTCCTTTTCAAAATAAAAACTAAACTTATGACTTGAGCATATTTTTTTTTCTGGGTTTATTTTTCCCACTTGAGGTAGGTGGCATAAGCTACCTGATGGCAAGGATTACTTTACCTATTATATTTGTATTCACATCCCCCTGCCCCTAACACATGCTAAATGTGTAAATAGTATTGAATTGAGCTAGGTTTCCCTAACAGTTCGCACTGTGATTTTGGATAAATAGTTTTAACTTCTGGACAATGGTTTCTCCAGCTTAAAAAAATGAGTGTAGTATCTCAGTCCATAAACTTTATAAGGTGTATCAATAAAAGTGTTGTACTAGTCAGCTCAGGCTGCCATAACAAAATGCCACAGAGTGAGTGGCTCAAACAATAAAAATGCCTCACAGTTCTGCAGGCTCAGTTCCACATCAGGGTGCCAGCATGGTCAGCTTCTGGAGAGATCTGTCTTGTACATGGCTGCCTTCTCACTGTGTCCTCTCACGGTGAAGACCGAGAGCAAGCTCTCTGGTGTCTCTTCTAATAAAGACACTCATCCTGTAAGATTAGGGCCTCACTCTCACCACCTCAGACAACTTAATTACTGCCTAAAGGCCCTATCTCCAAATATAGCCAGATGGGGGGGGGGGGTTAGGGTTCAATATATAAATTTTGGGAGGCAGCCATGATAAAATACGGCACTGAGATCCTAATAGTAAATTCAAAATTCACTTACATTATTCACTGCAGATGCCAACAATAAGATGTAAACAGAGAGAGAGAGTGGCTGTTGTTCAGAGTTTCATGACATTATTTGCCTCAGCCTACTTGAAGCCAGGAAGCGGCCGCTGGTGATTTGAGGTCGACCTTGCGATCCTGTATATGGCAAGCAAACCACATACAATCACCGGTATTCAAATGAATAAATTTTGAAGTTAAATGCAGAAAGGTGTGAACTCGTGGGACGTAAAGTCAGGGCCGGGATGAAAGTTGGGGACGGGCGAGGTATTAATAACGCCTTCAACGATATTTACTGACGTGCTATCACGTGCCAGGCACTGGGGGGGAAAACTGAAAGCTGATATGGTTCCTACCTTAAAAGGAGTTTACAATCTAAATAGGATGCGGGCAAACTACTTCAACAGCTCGGATGGGGAAAAGACCAACACCCCACGCAGCGTCCCTGAGCCCAGCAGGCTTCCCTGAGAAGTTGGTGAGGACGGAATGGGGCCGGCTGCGGGGCTGCAGCTCGCGTCGGGATCCTGATGGCCAGGCGGGGGGCTGGGGCTGAGCCCCTGAGAGCGGGCAGACCCGTCCCCGAAAGTCACTGTCCTTTCTCTTCACAGCATGACCACTGAAGGCAAGACTGGAAGCTCCCTACACACCAAGACCTTTCGAAGGTCCTCGGACTCTATTTCGGGTTGTGGCTCACATTAAGCGTATGTCTTACATTTTTCTCCCAAGTTCCCATTTTCAGGCCTTTTGGTTTTTCTTTTTTGCTGTCTGCCCCCAAGCATCTTCATCTGCCAAGACTCTTTTCAGGTGCAGAGACCCGAAGGAAGATCCCAGAGCGGCTGGGGCTGACCTCGGGAAGCAGTCATTTTTTTTTTGTTTTTTTTTGCTGTGGAGTCTCTCTCCGCAGCGCGGAGGAGGACGGCCCACAGTAGGCAGCCGGAGAGGAAAAAAGCGACGGGAGTCTGATGAAGGCCGGCGCTTCTCACTCTCCGGCTCGCTCTCCGCCGCGCAGCCTCAGCTCAGTCCACGCCCAGCACAGCGCTTGACTGACAGGCAGCTTCGCCCAATCCCGGTGCGGCGGATGGAAGGGACGGGGAGACCGAACCTATCAGAGGAGGTCAAGAGAGGGTTTCCTGCCCGCACGGACCCGCCCACGGCCTCGCGGCCAGTCGGCGCTGCACCTCCGCCCGCCCGCTGCGCGCGCCCCGCCCCTTTCCCCAGAGCTACGCGGCGGCTGAGCGGAGGCCTCGTGCCGTAACGGCCATCGCGGCGGCCGCGGCGGCGTCTGGGTGCCCTCGTCAGGTGAGCTGGGGCCGCCGAGGCTCGGCAGAGGGACGGAGAGACGGCCTTGCCGGCGGGCAGATGCACGGGGAGCCCTTCCTTGTCCCTGGCGCTCACACAGCCTGCTATTCGTGGCGTCGCTTCCTCTTCCCAGGCGAAGTTAGCCCCGGGCGCCGTCTGCCGGCCCGGAGCTGAGCCGAAGGGGGCGGGGAGGCCCGGCCTGGGCGTCTGCACTGAGGTTTCGCGCGACCCTCCGGCCACTACCTCGGGGGAGGGAGGCGGGGCCCCGCGGCTTTCCTGTCCGCCTCCGGAGTGCCCGGTCTCGGTGAGCACCCCGGGCGGCCACCCCTGCGAGGCTGGGAGGTCCACTGTGCGGCGTGCGTGCTTCTCTGTTTCTTTTCCTCCCCAAATCCCGTTGCCGGTTGTGACCTCATGCAGCCAGGAAGGTAGGGACGTGGGAGAGGAGGGAAGGGGGGCGTTCGCGTCTAGCCTGAGCCCCGTGCGGCGGGTGGACATCCTCGGGATGCGCCCTCTGCCCCTCCCCCAGCCACAGCCCCAGCCGGTTCCCTGGTCCCTGGGAAATCGGGGGTATTTTCATCGAAGGGACCTGTGGTAGATTTCCTACCTGAATTGCTTGGGTTGTGAGCTTTTGACTTGCCTTGTAATATATCCGGTAAAAACCGACCTTGGTTGGCTGATTTTGTAACCTTATGCGTTCCCATAAAAGTTAAATTTGCCGTTAGAAGCTCAGGAAGCTGGGTTTTGTTCAGGGCTGAGAACGGTGACATTATAGACGCTCAATTAAATTCGAGCTGATGAACTGATCAGCTAAAAATAATTCTACCCATTAGATTCTGTAAGAAAGCTGACAAGGTAGGAAAGAATGAAGTTAAGGACAATTTTTTAAAATCCCACCTTGGGTGGTGAGCAAAGAAGCTCAATGCAGGAGTTACTCATTTTTAAAAATCTTTGGTAGATTTATGAAAACTCAACCGTACAGTTTATTAAGCACCTGGAGAGCACTGTGCCTAAAGGCTCAGTTTTCAGCGAGGTCACAAAGTGAAGGGAGAGATACTTCATGAAGAAGGTTTTGTTTGAAAATTGTCGATAATATTCAGTTTTTAAATAGGCATCCCATTCACAGTTGGATAGTAACTCAAGAAGTGTGCATTGGTTGATTAATAGTAGTTTCATTCCATCTTGATTACAAACTCTGAGATTTTTTTTTCTTTGGGAAAATTGTGATCTGTGAGAATTAGCTGTGGTATCTCAACACTAGTTGCCAAGTGTTCAAGACTCCTTAACTGTGCTTGTTCACTTGCTTAATTTTAAATCGTGTACTTTATTTTTCTAAGCACTATCTTTTAGTCCATGTAAATAAAACTTGAAGCATACATACAATGCCTTTTTAGTTTATTGAGAGATACTTTGTGCCCTGGGTTTATTTTTCTTATGGACCTTTTGGACCTGCCAAAGTTCAAGGTAGATTTGATGTGATTATTGTTACAAATTACTTGTCAGGAAGACTTGATTTGATAAATACAGATGTAGTCCTTTTTTCCTATCATAGTTTTATAACTTTTACAATTTACTCACCTTTATAATATAGAAAAATACCAAATGTTCTCTACCTACACCAGAAGATTAAATCATCATTTAGTTGATACATAAAAATCAGAGGAAACTCTGGAAATCACTAAGCACTTAAAAGATCTTCATAAATACTCTGCTGTGCTGTTTTAGGAAGACAACTAACAGGGCCAAAAATGACATTTAAAGATGAAGGCAACAATTTTGTCTGGATGATCCTCACTAAACTATTTCAGAGTTAGAATTTATAGTCTTTCCTTCAAAATTGATTCCATATGTTATGGTAATATTATGCTTTCAATTGCCCAGACACAAATCTTGGTTTTACCTTTGATTTCCTCGATTCACATATCATTGGCTAATTTTTCAGCCATTTTTTTGAAATTTCTTTCAGATACCTGTTTATTTCCTCTAGCTTTTAACTAGGTTTTCTGTCTGCCTTTTCTTCCTACTCAGTATATCCAGCCTTCTGCCTAATCTGTTTTTTAAAAAATATGTTTTTATTGATTTTTAGAGAGAAAGGAAGGAAGAGGGATAGAGAGAAACATCCATGAAATGAGAGAGAAACATCAATCAGCTGCCTCCTGCACACCCCCTCATGTGGATTAAGCTGCAACCCAGGAATCGAACCAGTGAGCTCTTGGTTCCTGGATTAAGACTCAACTGTTGAGCCACACTGGCCTGTCCTAATCATAAAATAATGTTTTGAACATATCTCTCATTGTTAAACCAATAGCTCCCCGTTACCTATAGACCAGTGGTTCTCAACCTTCTGGCCCTTTAAATACAGTTCCTCGTGTTGTGACCCAACCATAAAATTATTTTCATTGCTATTTCATAACTGTAATGTTGCTACTGTTATGCATCGTAATGTAAATATCTGATATGCAGGATGGTCTTAGGCGACCCCTGTGAAAGGGTCGTTTGACCGCCAAAGGGGTCGCGACCCACAGGTTGAGAACTGCTGCTATAGACTATAGTTCACATTATTAGCCGTTTAACTATCTGCTCAAAACCGGTTCTTCCTAATGACAGCACAGTTTCTCTGTAGGAACTGTCCACCTAATCCAGTTGTCGGCAAACTGCAGCTGGCGAGCCACATTCGGCTCTGTGGCCCCTTGAGTGTGGCTCTTCCACAAAATACCAGGTGCGGGCGCGCATGTACAGTGTGATTGAAACTTCGTGGCCCATGCGCAGAAGTTGGTATTTTGTGGAAGAGCCACACTCAAGGGGCCAAAGAGCCGCGTGTGGCTCGCGAGCCGCAGTTTGCCGACCGCTGACCTCACCAAACCAATCTCTTGTTCTCATTTAGACTTTGTATTTTTCTACCTTTATATCTGTTGAGACTTTGAATGTCTACGCATAGCCTGCCTATTCTTTTAAAAGAAAATTTCTCTCCTAAGGTACCCAAATAGCAAAGGAACTCAAATTTTGTTAAGTTTCATTTTTGGTCCATCAGTGCAGCCTTCCAGATCTTTTGTTCTCTGTGTTGTTTTCTTTTGAACCCATAGCCTTTATTGTTTTATCATTCCTTTAGTTTTTTAATCTGATGTGGGCTTGTATCATCATATCATGGGACAGTATTGTGGGAAAGTTGGAATTCCACCTTCTGTTTATAAGGAAAATGCAATCCATACAAAATATCTGAATTAAAATGCACACATCTAGTGATGGTGTCAGAGCTGAGACTTAACCTTTGATTTCCTAACTCTAGTACTGTGTGTTTTTACAAATTTTCTGTATATTCTTTATGAAACTATACTGCTCATCTCTTGCAATATTGTTTTTTATTGCTTCATATTACTTTGCATTTTGTGTATTTATGCCTTCTATAAATTCAGAACTTTTTTTTATGAGGACAGGGGAACCTTCATGATCAATTGAAACAATGATTTAAAAGTATACTTGCAGTCTTTTCCTATGCTTGTTAGATGTATCAACAGCACTAACAAAAATAATGTTCTCTACAGTTGTGTCTTCTGACTCACTAAAAAGTGAATGAATCTCTTAAAAGTTTTACTGCTGGAGTTTGTTTGAATCTCTTGATAAAGAGACTGAATATTTGGGGGCCTTGAAAGTAGATGGGAACAATGTGATGGTTTGGAGGGAACCCCTCAGGCTTTATCACTTAATTCAGTGGTTCTCAACCTTCTCGCCCTTTAAATACAGTTCCTCATGTTGTGACCCAACCATAAAATTATTTTCGTTGCTACTTCATAACTGTAATGTTGCTACTGTTATGAATCCTAATGTAAATATCTGATATGCAGGATGGTCTTAGGCGACCCCTGTGAAAGAGTTTTTTGACCGCCAAAGGGGTCGCGACTCACAGGTTGAGAACCGCTGATAAATGTAATGATTTTTTCTAAAAATGATCTTGTTGATTCTTAGAACAGTAACACTTTTACATTTTGCTACTTTGTCACTTTGTTCATCTGTGAAGAACCAGATTATTGAGCAATCCACTTATTGAGCAAAACATTCTGAAAATCATTTGTTCTTTTTGGGAAGTTAGATCTTTTATACATATACTAGAGGCCCGGTGCACAAAAATTTGTGCACTGGGGGGGGGGGCAGGGGGACCCTCAGCCTGGCCTGTACCCTCTCACAGTCTGGGACCCCTCGGGAGATAATGACCTGCTGGCTTAGGCCCGCTCCCGGGTGCCTGGCCAGTCTGGGTGAGGGGCTGAGGGCCGTTTTCAGGCTGGCGGGTGACTGAAGCTCCCAACCTGTCCTTTTTTCCTTTTTTTTTTTTTTTATTCTGGGCCAGCTTTAGCTCTGAGGCCTCCGCTGCTGAAAGCAGGTTTCTGGCCTTTGTTTACCTTCTGTATTTGAAACCATGTTGCGGTCCAGCTGGCTGAAGCGTGGCTGACTAAAGCAGGTTTCTGGGGGTTTGTTTAGCTTCTATATTTGTTACAATGTTTCTTAAACTGCAGCTCAGAGGCCGGCAAGATAGGCAGGGAAGCTTGGCTTCCTCCGTCACTGAAGCAAGCAAGCCTCATGTTCCGCTTCAAGCTGCCTGGCTGCCGGCCGCCATCTTGGCTGGCAGTTAATTTGCATATCTCCCTGATTAGCCAATGGGAAGGGTAGCGGCCGTACGGCTAATTACCATGTTTCTCTTTTATTAGATAGGAAGGAGGATAGGATTTGCTCTTCATATTCCTCCCTCCCCCCTTTAACTCTAAAGTTTCTCTGAATAGCAGCCTTGATATTTATACACACACACACACACATACATAGGGTTGCCTTGATATTTTTTTATATATATATATATATATATATATATATATATATTGAATTCAGAGAGGAAGGGAGAGGGAGAGAGAGAAACATTAATGATGAGGGAGAATCATTGATTGGCTGCCTCCTGCATGTCCCCCACTGGGGATTGAGCACTGCAGCCCAGGCATGTGCCCTTAACTGGAATCGAA